CTTATAATAAACTCAAAAGCCCTGTTATCATTATTTACCTCGACTTTATCATCAATGCTATCACTGCTGTACTTTTAATAAAGATCTATTGACTTAACTTTTCATATATCAAACTTAGATCAGTCTGCTATCATTATTATGATGTTCCTGTAAATAGTGCACATACTTGTTCCAGTATCTGTCATTATAACCATACTATGATGTACTATTGTTGTTGATGTTTGTCTCTGCCCATCCCTCTCTCTTTCTTCATCTCCCTCTTTCACCTCTCTAAACCCAACACTGTCTCGGCACATGACAAACAGGGTTCAAAAATCTCTACAATACACACAAAGCTTTAAATCTACACCTGATGGCCAAGATCTCTGGGTCCCCAGGACGCAGTGCATTAAAATAGACATGACTCTGTAGTGGAAATCACCACATGGGCCCACAGTTACCTTTAAAATCCTTTTTTTGTTTTGTTTTGTAAATACAGTTTGTTGCTGCATCCACCGATCTAGGTGAAAACTGTATCATGTAAAGAGGAAACATTACAGAACATTATAGATCTCTAAAAGCTGTTGATTTCTCTGGGTCTGGACCATATGCTATGGACTAAGGTGAAGTGATAAAGAGTTCTTTGATCTGACATTCTCTTTTAAACCATGGATGCTTGAAATGAGACCATCCAACATGCTATCCAGCACCAATGATAGTATGGGGATGGACTGAATAATTACCCATGGTTTATCTAGTTTACAAAATGTGAAGACTCCATAAATGCTGAACAATATCTATGGGTTTAGGAGCAACATCTGCTACTGTCCAGACAACTTTCCAAGGAAGCCCTTTATATTTTCAACAAGACAATGACAAACCACATTCTGACAACAGGGATTACAACAGCATGGCTCTGTAGGAGAAGAGTCCTGCTGAGAAACTTGACTGCCCATCCCACTTGTCAGCTATAAAAAACATTTAGGTATAGACAATACAGAAAAGGCTGAAGATCTTTTAAGAGTTTTGAAGAAGGGGAAGTTTATTTCTTATGTTAGTAACAAGTACACAGGTACATTTAAAGATTTGATGACACACTAATACACTTGTGGTAACCAGTAAAAGCCATGCTGCTTTATCAGAGAATCACCTCTTTGGTCTGAGTCATGCTTACAGATATGTTTTCAGAGCAGATCTGACCTGGGGTTGTGTTTTTAAGATATTCTGTCTGCAGAATCTGGTGTCCAGTGTGTTGTTGTAGGGACTGCCTAACCCTAACCTGGCCTCTATGATTAATTCAACCGCCAGGAATCCCCAGGGGTCACATCTCCTGCATGGGTGTGCAATGTCTGTACGCAGCCTGGCCACTCCTCTTAAGTGGCTCTGCCATATTAGCTAATGGATGGCCTATGATCTAATATTTGCCATTAATGGCCAGCAGGGTGGGTCGCTGCTGTGACTCAAAGTAGACACCCCAAGCAAGTTTATTGTTTTTTATTTTTAGGTCTCTCTGTCTTTTACTGCAATACACACATCCAGTTTCAGTTTCTGACCACCAAGAAGTAACAGAAATAGCAGTAACACACAAAAAAGACAGAACTGTCCTGACTCTAACCCTAACCCTGCGCATGCAATCATGGCGTTTTAATGTTAAAGTCTTTAGCCAACTACTGCACCGTCAAACTGAGGTCCTAACATGGTCAAATTTATGTCCCTGACATCGCTGAGTCAGGCTGGGTCAGGCTGTGAATGTGTGTAAAGATCACATGCAAAGAAGCACTGACTAGAGATACTGTTTCAAACACACCATGAGCTTCTGAAGTTTTTGTTCTTCTTCCTCAGAAAAAGGTCATTCAGGGCGATAAACTCCCTGATCTTGTCTTTGATGTCTTTAGCTCTTGGGTTGTCTCTGCTAAACTTTCTACAACTCCAAATCAACACTGAGCCATTGATTCATTTTGTTGGCACTAATGCTGGATGGCTGTAGCTACTGATGCTCCATATTTCCTTAGCAAAACATCTGTGCCATGCTATGGTGGGAATATAACGTAACTCAGGCATCATTGGATGTTTTTGGAGCCTGAAACCAACACTTTTGGTGTGTGACTCTTCAAACAGAAACAAGCTACTTCTGTTTGTAAGAACATGTAAGCTGGTAAGAGAGCCAAGAGGACAGGGAGAGATCAGGTGATGTTATGTTCAAATTAAATTTTATTGATAAAGTTGTTGATCATAAACACTTCAAAAATGGAGGATCAGACTCGTCTTCATCCAAAAATCAAAAACATGAAGTAGACTGAGATCAGGACAGGTGACAGCGGAGATTTAGGGTTAGCATGGGTGTTAGCTTTCATAGACGAAAATCCTAATGATGAATTAATGTTTGGAGAGCGACTCTGAAGTTGTCAGTATTCTTTTAGATGGTAAGAGAAGGTTTATTTCCCTCAAAAGTTCATGAGTTTACAGACACATAAAGCTGAATAATCTCAGTTCGAGCTGCTGCTGTCAAAGATCCTGCTGATGTTTCCTCAGAATCATCAGTCAACTATGAGGAGATGACGTCTGGATAAAAATTCATATTTCTTTACTCTGACACAGAAACACCACTCACTGTCCTTCAACTGACTACAACACTTAGAGCTGACCAACCATCAGCCTCATGGTGAAGCTGTTTTAAAGGAGGAAACCACACGTCTCAGTTTTGAGCTCAGTCTGTTCAGAGTCCTGATCTTTATAGCAATGTGGAGACAAAAAAACATGAGACACTTGAATCAGAGAGCTGACTGTTTACCGTGAACCAAAACTACCACTTTATCAAGACTTTATTCTCACAACATGAAGACTTTATTCTCAGAATATTATAACTTTACAACCACTTTATTTATTTTTTGTAACAGTATCTCTCTCTCTCTAAACATGATTTTATTTACTCATGGCTTTATTCTTGAAGGAAAATGAAAAAAAAACATTATTTTTTCAGCCTTTTCTTTACTAGTCTCTGACTTGACATAGTCCCCTGTTCCATGTTTTTCTTGCTTTTATTTGAGAGAACTTTTGATTTTTCTATTTTCGTACTATTGTTATTGTTTGCACTATTGTTATGGCTTAGTTACTCATTGTTTAAACCTTTGATTTAAAATCCCTAGTTTAAAATTTCTATCACAGGTCAACCATTTCAGAGACATGTTTTCTATGCATATCAATCATATTTCTTTACTCCTCACTAGGTGGTATTTTACACCACACTTCAAAGTTTCAGAGCAGTTACATACTCCATTGTCTGATGATTTATCTCGATCATCACCTCTTACTGCCCACCTGCACACACTTACAAACTGCTCTAGTGTTTTTCACACATGGTTCACTGTATGTGTGGTTCTATAATCCAGGGATGAGCTCATGAAGGTTTGATCTCTGTCCATCAAGTGGATCCTCACATTGTCTGGAGTGGATTTAATGAAGGGTCAAACACTCAAATCCCCTGCGGTGTGTGATGTCAGGTGCAAGGGTCAAACGCATGTAAAGCCCAACAGTGTGTTTCCGCAGAGATGAGGGTGATAAGGTTTGTCAAGAAGTTAATGTCCTTTAATCCCTTCAAAGGCGTCAGCTGGATTCGGGCAGACTCTCCGCAGTGTTAGAGGACTCATGTTTTCTTCACTGGGACTTACTCACCAGCTCTACCCACAACACGTGCACTTTATATTTATGTGTTGAGTGTTTGTGCTCATAGTGCCTCCAGCTATCAGATTAACCCTTTCCTGGCAGGTGTCAGCATGCCTCTCATGTCACTAAGTAAGTTCTGTCAGGCTCACTATCTGTGGTGTAGTTTCTCTTTACAGAGTGTTAAACATTTCTTTCTGTCAACAGTCATCATCACCATCATCCCAGAAAACAACACTAATTTTTAGACTGATGCAAATGTGAACTAGAGTCTCGGAGTACAAATAATTTTTTTTTACTTTTAAGATCATGACCAGTTCTTAAAGGGTTAGTTGATCCTTGGGATATGATGATATAAAAATCTAAGAAAATGATAATTATGTAGCCAAAGCTCCATGGTATTTTCACTAGGGTTAATTAAAGACAAAGCTCTGGATAAACAGGTCTGTTCTGAGGCTCTGAGTAACTGGTTAAATCCTCATCTACCCCTCCCAGGTGAGTGAGCTGCTCCTGCTTACCTGAGGTTACGTCTAACTTTGGTCTTTGTTTGTGTAGAGCTGCTCAAAGTGTCTGACAAAAGGGTGGCTGTGATGAGAATTTATACTTTGGTTCCAGTCCGTTTACCTTCCCTCTGAATCCTTCTTTGTCGACAACAAACGGTGTCTGCAGGTTCTCAGTTTTATACTTGGCAATGAATCTCATGATCTCTCCATTTCCTTTCCTCTTATGGAGAGGTAAGGCTTCAAACACTTTCTTTAGAGTCTTGGTCTGGCTGGATTTGTTCTTAAGCAGCTTATTGATCCTATTTGGTGTCAAAATTGTGAACTTGATTTTAAGTCGCTAAAAAAATAATAATTATGATAAAAAAAAACCAAAACTATTTCCAGCTGTTTCTCTTGAACAATCTCATGAGTAGATTTTCAGTATTGTACTTTTGTTCTCTTGTCTTACATCATTATCTCTGATGCATAATGACTGTATGAAAACTACATAAAACTGAAAATGTGAAATCTTGAATAAAAAGACTGCACTATGTCAACAATGCCCCTCACTAATAAAGCATTCAGAGTAGAGCATGGAACACAGAATAAAATAAAACACAGATGCAAATACTAAACTTAAGTAAGCTCTAGTCTTGGGTTCCCTATTCTGCTCACTGTTACCTTAAAGCTGTTTTTTTTTTAATTTTTTTTTTTTTTACCTAGAGAGGATCAATCATAAAACTGTCATCTTTTCCTGAAAGAGCATTTCTATAACTTGAAATGAAAAAGATGTCCTACATGCCAGGATATCTCTGCCATCTGTATCTAACTCAATGCCCTTCGTTATAATACCTTTGAGCAATAAGAGACACGATAAGATGAACTTTTTGTGACCAAATTTACTGTAAAAATAAACAGAATGATTGCAAAAATTCATTCAAAAAGAATTCGTGTGTGTCATCTGATGCTGACAGGGTTGTGTCTGAAGTCCAGTGAGTGCAAGGAGGTGGCCAGAGCTGCATACAGGTGAGAGCTGCTGAACCTCAGGCAGTACACGGGGCTGCTCACTGGGTCAGAGCTCAGCTGGAAGAACTGCACAGAAAACACAGGATGAGCCCTTTAATTCACAGTTTTATATCAAAAATCAGATCCTAAGATAGAGTCTGAACCTGCTCCCTACCTACTGTGAGACACTGTGCTCTCTTTAACAAAGCCCTGTCATTAGATTCATCCTGAGGACACATTGTACACACCTGCAGGCACTCAGGCTGCCGTTTGTCCCAAAATCTAACCACTCCGTAGTATGAAGAGCCGCTGGCTATCATGTGATTCCCGTCTGTCTGGATGCAGTAAAGGGCGCTGTCATGAGGTTCCTCCCACTCCATCACACACTTCCTGTTGAGAAGGATGGTAGAGTTTATACAGTCGTTAAGCCAAAGAGCAAAGTTTTTTTTTTTTATATCTGAATTTGTGAATGTTTGTTGTTCATGGCTCTATTCTTTGAGAGTTTGTGTAACTGTAGTTCTGGACCACATATTGAACAGTCACAGTGTGATGTCCGCCACACTACAGACAAATTTCCAGACATGAACACACAACGTGAATCATACTGACTGTGAGCGGTGAGTGGTAAACATTCATCGTGACTATGTCATTCATCGTGACATTGATCAACTAAAACAAACTGCTTCAAAAGATGATGACTGGAATATTATAAGAATGACATAACTCAGGCATAAGCATTACTCCTGATAGAATTTTATGTGGTAGTAAGATTTTAGGAAATCCTAAATAAAATCTAAATAAAACATTACGTCTAAGAAAGACTAAAAATTGTAGTTACAATTAAAAAGAAAGTATTAAATAGTCTGACCCTTCACATTACAGAGAAGACATCATCTCTGAGTCTACTTGGTGGAGGTTTGTAGAAAACACAGAAATTCCATCTCTTGTTCAGAGGAAAACCCAATACTGTAGTTAACAAGAGAGTGAATGTGTGTCCCTGTGTGTGTGTGTGTGTGTGTGTGTGTGTGCAGCAGGGAGCTGAGAGGAGGGAGGTGGTGGCTGTGGTTAAGAGAGGGGAAGTATTTTGGGGATAAGTATTTTCTGCCAATAGACATCGATCCTCCATTAGTGCAGCCTCATCAATAAGTGATGGAGAGACACCAGGGGTAGACAAAGGGGCAGCCGAGATGTCTGGAGGTTCTCTCTCACACCAACACACCCACACCCATCCATCCATCCATCCACCCACATGATATATGTGAATGCATTCCCTAATTCAAGCAGACATCATGAAAACCAGTTTAATTACTCATGATTTAAAATTTCATTTGGATGATACTCCAAGTATCAGAGAGATTTAATAACTAACACTGAGAATGAGAGTAGATTATCACTTAGCAGAAAGACACAAAGAGTGTGAATTAGAAAGAGGTCAAGATGTGCGCAATGAATTATTTACCAGACTCTATAATTGTCAGAGCGTCTTACACCTCCACCAGAGAACTTTCCACCCAGGTTCAATTGTTGTTTTTCCTCTCCTTTGAAGCAGTACCCCACCACAAATACATGTGATCCTAATGAGAATCTGACTGTCATTAGGGATTATTTCACACTTTGTCTGATAATCTGCTCCCACTGAATTGTTGAGATGTTAAAGCATGTGTTCTGCAGCATATAATGCATTTCTAATGCTTGGTAGTTTCAGACAAATGTTACACATGAGTGAAGGAAGACTGAAGAGTTGTAGTTAAATGTTTTCATGGCGTGACTCAGTACCACCAGGACACACACATTCAGTCCTGCTATGTCTGTCTTTAAAAGTTTTTTTAATCATAATGTTAGAAACCGTTATATTTTATAACACGACAGATCTATCAATGATATAATGATACCACCTGGTAAAAAAAAAGTCTGAATGTAATACCAGGTATTTTTTCCCCTCTAGGGGAAAAGTTTATACTGACAATTAAAAAATAAAACTGATCATAGATTTGATCTTTGAAGCTCCACAGGACAAACAGAATCTATTTTTTTTTGTCTAACAGTGAATTTCTTCTCCTCCTTCTTCTTCCTCCTCTATTGGTGAGCAGCAACTTTCAGACAACCTGGTCCTCCTGGATGACCCTGGGAGCCTTTTGAGGCCAATAAGGTTTGACCGTATGAATTATTGATGCCTAAAGAGGGACCCCCCTCTGCCACCTTCACCCAAACCCAACCCAACTCAGAATCCCCAGAGTGATCTGCCAATCAGATCTGATTTGTCTTACTTGACTGATCTTCCTCAAATGCAGCCTGAAACCCCTCAAAGCCTTGAATAAAGGCAGCAGCCCTCTCAAAACATGCTCAAGACCCTGCAGACTTGCAATGAGGAGAGGGGCTGCTACAGCAGAGGGGACACTACAGATTATTGCGAACTATTGCGTATACTATGGTCTTCTTCATGTTATTATAAGAATTCAATCCTCAGGGAAGAACATCAAAAGGAAAAACACGAGGTTTATTCTTCTTATGAGGTTTATTCACATGAACAGGGAACTGTGTGCAGGAAGATGCTGTAATATAAGCCAGCTGTAGGGCTCATTGAGATATACTGTCGGTCTGTGACAGACAGCCTTCAAGAAACTGGTGGAGGCACTTCATACCAGAATAAATCATTTACTTGGCATTGTGATCATACAACTCAGAAACGTGACTTACTGCTATGAGGAGTCTAAAGTCCTGATGAAATGACCAGAGACCCTTTTACTAGGGCTGAATAATTAATTGCATATTTGATTACATCACGATACGATAAAACACAATTTTCTAACCGCACAGGCTGCGATTTTGACTGGTCATGTGACCAGAAGCAGAGCAGGTAGAGAAAGAAGTCAAATATGCATTCTGTCGCACTATGGCCTAATTCCGCTACAGAGGCTGACACTGCAGAAAGTTTTGTACCAGTTGTGTGGATCTATTTTGGCTAAAAAAAGGTGCTGCTGTGCAATGTGTGCAGAACCTGTCGTGCTGCTGTTGCTACATCAGGAGGTAACACTACGAACCTTTATCAACACTTAAATAAACACCAGAAAGCTATGTTAGATAGTTGAATGGTTAAAACACCAGCGACCAGCGCTTCAACCTTTAACCACTTCTGTATAACTACGGAAAATGCAACCAAAACGGTGATGGCAGCACAGCTGAATGAATAGACCAGACTCCAGTGTTTGGGCACTGACAGTTCTACAGACAGTTTAGTTGTTTTCATGTCAGTATCCTTAAAACCATTTCCACTGATTGATCTGGACCTCACTTGGACGATTCACTACACATGTTGTTCTTCAATGACTGGTTCAGACTGATTTTGTTCAGCACATGTGTAACTAGTGTTATTAGCCCCCCAAAAATCTCCTCCTGCTGTCTATAAATGCCATTATTTGTCTTTTTTTTGGGTCACATTAATGTTTCACCAGCTGAAAATAATCACGGGAGCTTTGACCAAACCTAAACCTTGTATGACCATAAACGAAGTCAACCATTTCAAAATGGTCACAAAGAAACTCACATATATCCCTGTTTGATCCTTTGCTCTTTTGTAGACTTGGTTTGTAACAGTCCTGGCTACAAAGAGACCAGGACACTGAGTTTCCTCATCTGTGCCTCTGGTCTCAAGCCTGTATTCAGCTAAGAGGCTGAAGTGATGTTCAGAGAAGCTCTGTAGGTGTCACTGTTAGACAAACACATCCCAGATTCACTAACATACACTGTGACTTCACAAGCAACTGCAGGGTAGAATAATTATTCAGCATTTGAGACATAATATAAGAGCTACTGATGGTACAATGTTCAGGAGTCTGACATCAGAGAAACCGTGACCTACTGTGGGTTTAATCGGAGATCCCACAGTCGAATGAAGGTATCGTAGCCACAGGTGAACAGCTGGTAGGGAGACTCAAACACCATATCCAACACTCCAGCCCCTCGACGAAACTCCGACCCCAGACTGCTCACACATTCCAGCCTTCAGGAGGAGAGAAGAATAAAAGAGGAGATTTTAATACCATTCAAAAAATGTGAGAAATAAGATCAAGCTGTTCAATAAAAAGAATAGAGCAGGACTCAGTCATAAAATACAGAAACTGATCTGTTGTTTGACATTTTAGGAATTACTTATCCCTGAGTATTCTGTGTGGCATCTGAGTTAGAATGTTAGAAAGTTAGAATGAAGTGACCGGGCTGAAGTGATGCGTGTGCGTGCATGTGTATGTGTATGTGTGTGTATGTGTATGTGCATGTGTGTATGTGAAAGAGAGAGTGACAGTCAGGCTCTGCAGCACCATGCTCTTGTGATCACAGCTCTGTCCCGCTCGCTCCTTGCCTCTTGATTGTTGGAGAATAACTTGAACTCAGCGGGGTGGATTATTGCAGAATAACTGTCTCTTTGTTGCCATTTAATACCCTCCATGACCGTGACTGTGTGCAACTCCCGCACGTTTGATACCTGCCCCGTAGCAACCATTTAAAAGAGGCTGCTGGCCTTGGCGACCGAGCAGCCCTGCGCTTCGACTCGTGCCCCCCTCCCTTGCCCTGGAGCTCAATCCGCAGGCTTGAGCTGGTAATCCCCCAGCCTTACCCCAGGGTGCCTTCTTATTGGACCAGGGCTTTCCCCACAGGGCGCCTTATTGGGTGAGAGCTTTCCCATTGCCAGGGTCTCATGACTAAGCCCGGGCCAATGGGGAGTCTGTGATGAGGCTGAGTTTGTGTCTGTGTGGGGTACTGACCCCTCGTTTTCCTCTTACCACTAAAACCATGGAGCTTAGCACATACCACACAAAAAGAGACTCATTCAAGTCAAAAGGATACATGCCTGTTCATTCATAACTAAATAATGATGTCTCCATTATAGCACTGGCACTCTAACCCAATGAGATCATCAATTTATAACCTTCAGCCTGAAAACTTCAAACAGGATGATTATAATCTGGAGCTGCACTGACAGAGCTGTCTAAAACAGAGGAAAATTAAAGCTAGGTTTCCATAAAATGAACCTGACATCTGTGCTCAGATTTTAAAGCCAGTAATAGCACCATAGGATGAGTTAGTGTGCAGTGCAAAACAGCAGGGACTTCGCAAATTGGTAGGTCACCGACTTTTATGGGCGGCATGTGATTACAGGATGGAGGCATAGGCATATAATCTGTTCAAATGACTGTATCTGTTAGTGAGCGGCAGCTCAATGCTCTTATCTGACCAGCCTTTCTATGGCTTGTCTGGGTCCATATTGGTGAATACCTGAGTCTGGCCTCTCAAACATAGCTGACTGGCTGAATCACAACCATCACACACAAACTGTCTTGAAAAGGATCCTGCTCCACTCAGGAGAACATTCAAGATGGTTTCGCTGCAGAGGTCCAAGGGTGGAGTGTACCATACACTGTCCAGGTCATCAGGATATATCAGATGAGATTTTTGGAATTTAATACAACACACTATTAGACCATGTCATGCATTTAATGTTTTGTTGCCAATATCTGATATAACAGTCAAAGGTATGCTGTCTCAAAATGGGAATATTTAGAAATATCTAAGGCTGAGATTTTAGGTTGGAATGCTCCCCTGCTCACCCCTTGTGTCAGTGTAGGGACGGTAGCCTTGGAGGCCAAGAAGCCTCTGTGATTCATGATAAGTATGATTCTCCTTTCTTCAATGTTTGTCTATCATTATGAATAAATTTTTGCACAAAAACAGCCGCTCTCAGTCCTCCAACTCAAGCTCTCATGATATCAGATTTTCGCTTCACCATTATTGTTGTCATAAAATATCACAAAAGTATTATTATAGTATTGAATAGTAATAGAATCAAAAAGTATAGGGGAAGAGTTTGGAGCACATGTAGCAACCACAAATCTGTACCTCTGGAATTCTAACCTGGAGAGAAAAAAGCTTTTCACATGCTGCTGCTACTCCACAAACATGTACAAACAGTTATTCCATCACTACACATTTGTCAGCACATATTACACTCCATTAGGCCTAATATTGGTGTCATAGTGTGTGTTTTCATTTCACATTACATGACACAGCTGGAGCGTCACACACACGCACGCACGCACGCACGCACACTCTGACATGCACAAACAAACAGCACAGTTCCAGTTTGTTGAATTCAGGGTTGCAAAAGGGTGGCAAGGCAAAACTGAAGCATAGAGCCAGTAAATTTGGCAGACCTAGACACGGTGTGATAATGACTTGCAGTAGGATGCACTTGGGTGACAGGCACTTTGGTGAGGATCTAGACCATCCCCATGGTCAGACAGGAGAGTCTAACTGGATCATGCCTCAATGAATACCTTAAAACCTGAAAGCAAATTCTGACTGTGAAGAAAAGGTAGATTAATAATGAACAAAATCACAACATGGTGTGCTGGGGAGAAAATGCTCAACGTTTTACATTTTTTTGACTAAAACAAAAAAACAAACAAAAAAACTGTCCCACCTGGTCAAACTATGAGAGAACCCAAGATGTGGCTCTGACAAGACCAGTTCTTGCAGTCTAATGCATAGACTGAAAATCATTGGTTTAGAGAGCTTTATAATTCACAGATGGCGAATGAAGCAGTTTGAGCTACAGCTACTTTGTGAGATGGGTAGACTGTTGGCCATAGGGGGCACAGACTTAGTGATTGTTATGAAGGGGCTGCTGGCTGTGTGACACACAGGGTCTAAGTCCTGATTTCAGCCTGTCTGGTCTCACTGCAGGAGTCAGGTTGGCTTTAGGGGCCACACACACTCATACAAATTGCGAAAGGAATCATTAATGAATTGACAATGTGGAAGAAAAACAAGAAGAGGCTCAGGGTATTATCCTTTAGTCTGGGGAAAGAAAAGTAGTGTGTGTGTGTGTGTGTTTTGTGACAGGAGAGGTTGGAGGCTCTTGTAAAGTTTAGTCTGAGCTCTAAACAGGGGCCTGGGGACGCGCTGGGAAACAGGCCCTCTTGTCAAAAGGCGTCAGACAGGTAGAGAAAAGACGCCCTGCTGAGGTTTTTACTTGCTAAAACAAACAGAGGGGAGCCATGCAACCTGCTGCACGTCCACCCAATTTACTCTGCACCTCTGAGGCTGCTGCAGCAGGAATGCGAAGACAGTGAAGAGGAGGGGCACTGGCTGCTGCCTGGGACCCATCAACAATGACCACCTTCAAAACGTCACATACACACATGCACTGCAAAGACAATACCGCTGCAATTTGTACAACAGAGCTCCCAAGCCAATGCAGACATTTTAGCCGACTCTTTTCAGTTTGAGGAATGTCAGGAATCCTAGCCTGGCCGTTTGATTGTAAAAAAAGGAGGGCTCCTTTTCTGAAGGAACAGAGGGGAATCTTGGGAGTTGGAAGTGATGGTCGGGGTCCTTTCTCTTTGATGCTTTTTTTCCCACTCTGTGTTTAGCCATGAGCGGAGACAGTTTGAAAAGTTGGGGTGCTGCTCCAATGGCGCCACTTGTGTGGGATCCCTCTCTATATGACTGGTTATAGGACCTCTTTGTGTCACCCCGATAAAAAAAAAAAACAGAATTATTGTAACAAAAAGAGAAAAAAGAAAGTGCTGAATCAGTTTTAAATCAAAGCCACAAGTGCTCAATGGGAGTCTGGGCTTTTTGACCTCTTGCTTTTGAAGTGTTACTAAACAAGTTGACCAACCTGCTGTTTAAATTTTTATGCAAACTGTTTAATATCAAAGTTTAGAGCAGTCGCAGTGAGCAGAGAGCTCAAGAAATAGTTCAAACGCATTTTCTCAATGGCCTACAACATCATCTGTTATTACAGAAGATTTGAAGATATTCAGGTAGAAGTGTTTTCAATGTTGGATTCTCAACAATACAGTTTTTGTATTTTGAAGCTGTTACTATGTTGGAGATTCTTCTAAGTAAGGATGCAAAATGTGACATTTGGTGATCTGGTTTGATTCAATAAGAATAAAGAAGCACAGTGCAGTCTTCTCCCAGTATAAAGATGAGTAAACATCTCTTCCAAGGACAGAGGGTCACTGCTGAAAGCTTTGAGTTTCTGAAGTTCTGGCTGTGGTCATGTTTGGTGCTGCAGGTGTGACACTGTCCTGATTGTGATGCTTCGGCTCAGATGGTACTAAAATCAAAGTGACACCACATTACATGGTGAGCATTACATTTGACATGAAGCTCTTTCTTCAGTGTTTTCACTGGTGCAGTTAGTTTGGAAAGCATCCTGCCTGTCATGCTCTCAGACATCTCAGAGCACAATGAAGCAGCTTTCCCACAAATGAGCCGTAGAGATGTGACTGAGAAAAGTCGACTCAGTGTCCTCTTGACTGATGAGTTGGTAATAGGAAAACCACACATTGTTTCATACTTATTAAAGCTCCTGTGAGGAGTTTTTGCTGGTTGTAAATCAGACTGAAAATAAAACGGATGCTTCTCGACCCTAAAAAAAGGAAACCACCCCACTGAAAAGAAGAGTGACTTTTTCTATCAATCTGACATTTGTGGCCCCAGGTCAGGTGGTTAACTGCACACTGCTGCTACAGCCTTTGTCTCACTTGTTCCATGATACATTTCTTGTTTAGTGACACATTTGACTGTTTAAAAAAATAGGAGGATATTTTTGTCAAGGTTCACTAACTTCCCATGCACAGGTCCAAAGACTGCTACGTCCAAAGGGGACACCAAAATCCACACAAACCTAAAGCTCCTGGCAGGAGCCTTAAGTTCAGCACTGTCCTTACGCTCACAAAGAGAGCCGAGTAAAATGCCATTTGAATATCTCATTAAATGATATTTATTCTTTTACACTATTGAAGTTTCTCCCTAAGTTTAAACCACATCTTATACTATGTGTGTGTTTTTTTTTACTTTGTCTCCATGTTGATTGCTCCATTAAAAAAAGAAGTCTTTCACTTGGGGATTTAGAAACAGCTAAATAATAATAGTAATCATTATCATCCTCATAATCCTAATAATAAATTGAATTTATAAAGTGCTTTTCAAAGGGGGGGGGGGGGGGGGGGTATTTTCAGCTGTATCCATGTAATGGGACACAACAAGAGTTTATCGACATGTATCTATGTAAACATCCTGCCCCTGTGAGGAGATTTCAGGTGATTATGAAACAGACTCAAGGACTTAAGATGATTCTGTTTGACCTACAGAAACCAAAGAGGCCACTAGCTTAAAGGCTGATTGTTCCATGTTTTCATGTAGAGGCTAGAGAAAATTTTCCCACCCAGTCAGGAGAAAAAAACAATCATTTGGACTATAGAGGAGGCATGCTTATCTAGGTCTGTTCAACCTTATAACCATGTCAATTTCCCTCACCACCTGCAAACTCAAGAATAACCTGCCCACCCATCCCTCCCCTAAGTCTTCCTGTGTGTCTCATGTCTTCACTCCTCCTCAAATTTCCCGCTGCAGCTTCCTGTGTCAGCCTTTTTTAATTGGCCAGGTAAAGCAGGGATTTATAGCAGAACGGGCGGGAATGTATCAGGTTTAAGCCTTGCCTTTCAGGGACAGGAATTTTCAGAGACCTCTTGTTGTGAACTCTTCCTTAACCAACAGCAGTGTGTCCCAAGGTGTATCTAAACCTACACTACAGGCCAAAAGTTTGGAAGCAAGGCCATTACAGACCAAACAGTTGGGAGTAACTTCAAGTTTTTGTTCACAATGCTTTTTTTAAAATCCAGCATGAGTTTTATGTATTTTGGGATGTATTTACTCCATGATCAGATGTTGCTTTCATGGAAATGCACCATTTTACTCCATTTACCTTTAGATATACATTGATGTGAACAGACCATTGCTAAATATATTTTAGCAAAAGATAATAAGGGCTTAGTTTTAGGGTTGAAAACATTTGCAAGAGTCACAACTTCAGTGCAAAAGCAAAAAAATGAATCACAGTTGGATTATTCACTTAAACTTTTTGGCTTTTGAGAGCCTGCATACAAAAATCCTAATAAATCTCAACTGCATTCAAACTACCGCAGAAATGGCTAGAAAGAAGCAACTGAGTAAAGAAACAAAAGGACAGATTTGTACATTGAGGAAAGAAGGATACACAGAAAGAGAAATTGCAAAACGCCTAAAGGTGTTTAACACAGGAGTCCACTACATCCTGAAGAGACAAGAGGAACCTGGAAGTCATGATGATAGAAGAAGACCTGGACCAAAGAGAGTTACTACAAAAGCAGAGGATAAACACATCATTGTCACCAGTAAGAGATATCGGTGAAAGACAGCACCACAAATAAGGGAGGAAATCAACATGATAAGGTCGAAACCCATATCTCTGACAACATTGAAAGGACGTTTGAGAAAGGCTGGTCTGAAGGGTTGTGTATCTGCAAAAAAACACAACTTCGTCCACGGAACAAGAAAAGGAGATATGAGTGGGCAAAAGCTCACAAAAATTGGACTTATGATGACTAGAAACAAGTTTGCACTGTTTGGTTCAAAATGCAGAGTCTATGTCCGCAGACAAACTGGTGAACGCCTGAGAGCACCATCTGTTACACCCACAATTAAGCAAGGAGGTGGTAGTTCCATGGTATGGGGATGTTTTGCAGGTGATGGGGTAGGAGATTTGTTTGAAGTAAACGGTATCATGGAGAAGTAACAGTACCACTCCATCCTCCAGCACCATGCTGTTCCATCTGGACTCAGCCTTGTGGGTCACAAGTTTGTTTTGCAGCAAGACAATGACCCTAAGCACTCTGCCAAGCTCTGTCAGGGTTACCCAGACAAAAAAGAAGAGGAAGGTGTTCTTCAAAAGATGGTTTGGCCCCCTCAGTCTCCAGACCTTTCTCCAATTGAGCTTGTGCGGGATGAATTGGATTGATCGGTCAGAAAAATGCGTCCCACAAATCAGCAGTCTCTTTTTAATGAACTTAAGAAAGCTTGGAATGCAATCCCTGGAACATACCTTAGAAAACTTGTGGAACGAATGCCTGGTATATGGCAAGCTGTTGTTAAAGCCAGAGGAGTTTACTTTAAAGAAAGCAAAGTCTAAGCAACAATAACTCAAATACCTAATAATTATAGGCAAAATGTCTTCTGATAAGTTACTCTTTACACAACAGTCATGTTTATTGTGTTGCAAATTACATATATATGAAACTATGATCTTTTTTTGTACAAATTTGATCTTGCTTCCAAACTTTTGGCCTGTAGTGTATGCTGGGCTCCCATTGGCTGTCTAGATGGGGCCAGATGGGGCTGTTCTGAAATTAAGAAAATTCACATCAATGGAATCCACAAGGGAACACTAACTTAGTGAAATACGAGTAAAGAGATGGAGGCTGAGCTTGAAGCACCAACCAATTCATAACAGAAAGACATGTTTGCAGCAAGGTTTCTAAGAGGAGCTGAGGATCCCCGTGATGCATGCTCACTGAGAGGTTTGCTTGAAATGACAGAACTAAACGAGATGCTGAAAGAAAGCCTCTCTGAATCTCGGCTGTTTCTGTTCTGGGTGCAAAACAACAAGAGGTGAGCAGAAAGAGGCATTTTCCTGGCAAATGAGAATGTTTTTATACATGTGTGTTTCAGTGTCAGAGCTGTTCACTGACTTACCGTTCAATATCCCAAATGCAGAGAGGGGAGAGATTCTCACAGCATGCAGTACCTGTGACGAAGGAGCTGCAGAAAGAGGGGAGGGGGCAGACAGACAGACAGAAAGACACAAAGAGCATTTAAAAACTAAACCCTTCAGAAAAAAAGAGTGCATCACAACAATGGCAGTAAAACAAAGTCAAAAACATCTGAACCCTCTCAGTGACAGGAGACAACAAACAGCCAGTTACATTGTAGGGATGATAGTTCAAAGCCTTACAGTCATTTGGAGTTGAACATTGATTTGACATTGACTGTTATTAGTGTGACAGTATTTTCTGTCTGTATTACCCAGCTCTAAAAATAAGATGTAATGTTCATTCATTCATGAGAACTGTTACAAACAGCTATAAAAAAGCCTCTGAAAGGCGAATGATTGAAGCACAACTTTTATGTGTACTGTAATACAAGAAGCAGTGAAAATTAAATGTGTGTCTGCAGACAGGTGGGAGGGTAATAGCCCTCGGCAGACAGCGGCAAGTTTCATACACTACAGAGAACAACCGATGTGATCCCAGACACAGAGAAAGTCCATCCAGGGATGTAGTGAAAAAAGAGAAAGGAGAGCAAACCTATAGCTGTGTGTTCCTTTGATTAGAGTGACAAGTTGGAATTAGCAGCCTAGGTATGCACACTGACTGTGATGCATTTGGGAGGAGGGGGAGCGGTGAAAGCAGAGGGGAGGAGCGCTGCAGGAGTGGGATGATGGGGTGTGTTTGGGTGTAGGGAGCTATGTAGAGGGTGGGGTGACGACCAGGGGTGCTGGTGGTAGGGGGGCTTCTGTTGGCTCTCAGGGCTTAGTGCCCTCCTACAGGGTTGATGGACAGGGGGGAGGACCCGCCTTTTACACACACAGAGAAACTAACGAATGCTTTTAGCTGGAGGAGAAAACTGTATGGAGATATGCAGACCCACAGAGAGAGAGAGACACCATAAACATGTAGCCTCATTTCACTGTCATACTGTGTATTTCAGATAACTCTCAGTTCAGCCCTGATGGTGCTGCTGCTGCTCAAAACTTCATTCAGGAAGAACCTGCCTTCCCCCTTTTCTCCTTCTTGTCATTTCCAATCCAGGCTGGACTAACATGAGGTCTCTCTGGAAGACTTGATGCTTCTTTTCTCCTGGGTTCATCAGATTCTGCTCAAGGTTTCTACCTGTTCAAAAGGAGTTTTTGGTTTCCACTGTTGTCAAGGACCTGCCCATTAGAGTCAGTTTTCAATAAAAAATATTACATTATTTATCATACTGCCAGGCTCGTATTATGTTATAAAAAATCCAGATCTGCTCTATTTGTTAGCTGCTGCTGAGTGCCATGTCAGATAAAAAGGTCTACTGAATTTAAGAGTTAAATATTGGAGACTACACTAAAACTGAGCATTTGAGCCAAACCTAAAACCCAAACCTTCTTAATCTGCAGATGTGTAAACATTTAAACAGAGAAGACCTGCTTTGTTGTATTCTAATTAGTGAACTCTGCCTCTGCTGGGTTTGATGCACACATAGTTTGCAGGACCAACAGCGCGGTAAGCTGTCAATTGAAGTCCAAAAAAAGACTCCTGTGGGTTCATCTTTTACAAGGTACTACAAAACTGTTTTCACAGATGTCTTGTTGTCATCATCATCTCTTCTCTGAAAAGCAAAAACAAAATGACTTCTATATTCAAGTATACACTCATCTCATTTAGTCTCACTTATTCAGAACTTATTCTGTTTCTACCAAGTCTGTCTATCTTGATCCTTCTCTCAGGATCAATGATATCTTTGATTTTGGAGGGTCTTAAATACTAAATGACAGCCTGCAGATATCCAGATGGCCCAACATGTAGATTTGTTGGTGTAGAAGAAAGTTCCAGAAATTGTTTCAGAGACTGCATGTACATTCAAACCATAAACCACATTTATGTTGACCCAAGGTTAACTCCCTGCCTGTATACCACAGTGAAGGGAAGGAAGCTATTAGCTCCAGCTGTGGTGGTGGAGCGTAGGTCAGGAATACTGTCAGAGTCTGGGCCTTCATTTGACTTCAGCTAGTGGGACAGTGCTAACTGTCAAAAATCAAACTTGCCAGCTATACATAAAGACAACAATGATATTATAGAAACAATATTTTATTGTTGCCTATTATTAAAAAACTTCATTAAGTCATAAAATGACATGATGGTGACATTTGTCGTCTTATATTAGTATAGCTAAAAAAACGCAGAAGGAGATGATGATTGTGGGATTAAAAGGTAGACTCACACTCCTCCCAAAGTTTTCTTCCTAACTCAAGTGTCTGTCTATAAAAGAAGTTTACAATATGAAGAATTGGACCCTGTTTAATTTATGGACGGAGTGTAATCTAAAAACAAGACTGTTGGTTTTGGCACCTCCTGTTTCTAACCCTGGACTTGTGTAAGGAATGAAAATGATTTTCAACGTTTAACTCCAGCACGTTTTAAGCTTTTCTTCACCCGCTAATAGTTTTAATGCCACTAAAATCTTCAGCCGATTGTCATCTTTAAGAAAAATGAAAAAAAAAAAAGGATAATTATTAATTAAAAGTTAAACAGAGGCAACTGATTTGACCTTGAGTGTAATTTTTATTTTTTCAAGAACTCTATTACTTGCTTTTTAAAGCTGCCTATTTCCTCATCAAAGTTAGAGCAGTAGCTCTATCCTGTGAGGGTTTCTGTTGTCTTTCTAAAAGCATAAATAAAGCGCCCAGAAAAGATAGCTGAGTCAACCATGTTACTGAACTACAAAAAAACTCGCTCTGTTCTTACTTTTCATAAAGGGTCAGGTTTCTTTCTGAGCTACAGAACTGTAGCAATGCTGTTTAGCTGTCCAAACACCAAAGATTCAGAGCTGGGGTAGAAAGATGCTGTTGGCATCAAAGGGATGGTGGGGGGTGGGGCTAAGTGGGGCATAGAGGCAGCTGTCAGTCCCATTAAGCATCGCGCCCATTGGCAGTCCCCCAGTAATTAGTGTTGGGTAAACTCATTTATGGCCCAAATGGGTCGAGCAGAGCCAGGACCAGTATGCGTGGAGGGCGACCTCTGACCTGCTAGGGTTATGGTCACACTCACTATCTGGACCCTATTACTCTCCATTACTCACATTACTTACCCCTCACTGGGCATGGGTACTGGCAGAGCCAGGACAGGGGACAGCGGACATACAATGAAAGAAGAACCCCCCCCCCCCATCTCTCTCTCTCACCCCTCTGGAGCGCCAACCAGACCCACACTGGGGTCAGGGCTTGCACTGATATTATAGCTGCTAAGGTCAGAGCCTCTCTCGCCTAATGTGGGGCAGGTGTCCCACACACACACACACACACACACACACACACACACACACACACACACAGTCATATCTCTGGCAAAACATAGGCACCCTCCTTTGCTCGACCTGCCCCCCCCTACCCACCCCAACTCATCATTAGCAGCACGCTGGGCCTCCGCCGTGGTTTGGGTAACCTCATCAGCCTGCTGTATTATCTAAGGGCCTGTCGTCAGTGTCGGACAAACTAACCCCAGTGGAAACCCACACACACACAGACACACACACACACACGAAAGATATGAGGAACCACATGACACATTTTCATGTGTGTAAACAGTCTCATCCATGCAGGCGCACTGACACACATGTAGTGTGAACCCACTTGTGTGGGTTGAGACCATTAGTTGGTCCTGAATAAACGTGTTTGCAGCACAGGAAACACTTTCCTCAGGACAGTCATTGAATACCTGCTGCTGAGCTCTGCTGCCTTTCTCTGATTCCCAAACAGTTCATATTAACAGCACCTACAGGACAGGAAGCCATCAATTCATGCAAATCATAAAAAAGGCATAATGATCATATGTCTATACTGTATTTGTGAAATGAACAGTAAATGCATTTAAGCATTTACATCCTCTCTTCTTTTAAGAACAGAGGATGACTTCTTCAAAATGTCAGAGTATTCCACTTCACCTCAGTCCTTCTAAAGTTAACTCAGGCCCATGGTTTCTTCTTTACCTGTTTGTGGATGCAGCGACAAACTGTCTTCACTGTGTTGAGCCCATGTAGTGATTTCCACTGCATAGTCATGGTAGTTTTTACTGCAGTGCTGCCTGAAGGTCCAAAGATCTCAGCTATACCTGTACTGATCTTTGTCTTTGTCTTTCTTGGACAGAGAGTTTGTACACAGATGTTTCAGAGAGATTCTCTGAGTCAGTTGATGATTTTATGAACTGTAGATGAAAAACTCTTTTTTTTTTTTTGCATTTTCTTTGCAGAGGAACTTTATACCAATGTAAACTTTACCCAGCCCTACTGAAATCCTCTTTTTTTATACTCAGTCATGTTACTAAACTGTTACACATTACCCTCATTATCTGTTTATTAACCTTTACCTGTGTTTCTGAGTTTTTGAAACACAGTGCTGGTACTAAATTTACAATACGCATTCAATGTTCATTGAAAAAATGAAATGTTTCAGTTTCAACATTTAAAGTACTTTCTTTGCACCATTAGAGTTTGAATCGTTTATAAAACATCAAAATCTATCTGTTTTTACAAACATTATAGATAGCACACCAATATTTTTAGAGTTAAGGTTTTACTTAAAACTGGCTTGATTGGAGACAAGCAAGCAACAGGTAAGTATGAGTGGATCCAAGCTTACAAATTTTTCCTCATGCAGGATATATGGCAACAAATTCAAACACATTTTGCTGAGAAATGTATGAGTGAGGTGATTTTCTATTAGAGCAGCCATAAAAAGAAGGATCTTGTCAAATTACATAGAATCTGTTTGTTGATATATCCTTGACTGTTGCTCCGTCAGTTGGCACTTCACTTTAAATCATAAATCTTATTGAAGTAAATAGAATTTATATTCTTTAAATCCACAAACGTATCTAAAGGTCTAACATTCAAAAGGTTGATGTTGCTTTAGTTTGTGGAGCTCAAGCTGTGATGGCACCCTGATTGACAAATGATTAAAATTCTTGCCTTTCATAGAGGCCTTCTTGACTTTTTGTTGGAATTAGGGAATTCCAAACAAGTCTTCAATTAAGAGAACATAATACAAACAAAAAAAGTAAGTCAGTATTTATCTCAGCCTCTGCCCCTAGAACCAATTACACATGAATGCAACAGAACAGCCCACATCCCCGCTCTGGGAATGTGGAGGCATGTGGCTCTGGACTCCAGGGGCGGTTAAGCTTCGCCCAGACCCCCCCCCCCCCCAACTCCCATCAGAAAGAGGGTTGTTAATTTGTTGCGCTTGACCCCGGGCTTTGTGCCTGACGTGTATCTAGTTTGTAAAAAGTGCTTTTATCTGCTTTCTAAATATGTCTAAGCTCAAAGGGTTATGATGCTTTTATATTGGTCAGGGAGGGAGACAATGGCCAAAGGGTGCAAGTGCTGACCCCCGCTGACACACACACACACACACACACACACACACCCTCTCTCTCTCTCTCTCTCTTTCTTTCTCTCCCAGCCTCCTCTGGCCTCTCCCTCCATCTCTTTCTTACCCACTGAACAAACTGATATGCATGGGTAAACGTATGAATGCATATAACATACACTTTCTCTCACTCACAAATTCACACTGCTATGCATGGGCCCAACACACAAACACACAAACACACAGATACACACATTTATGCACAGACCTTGTTGTCCCTTCCCTACCCCCTCATGGTCCTTTTGGCTTCTGTTTGCGTCTCCTGTGTGTAGGGTCACAGGGACATTCCTCAGCTGGCCCCTCAGCTCTGTTCAGCCGGCTGGAACAGACCGGGACCCAGCACAACCGTCCACACTGGACACACACACCAGACACAACAACACACTATAGTAGCCCGCTGACTCTGTAATAATGATTGGTCTCAATTCAACCTGCAATATATTGTGAGAAAACTAAAGAAAGAGGAACAGAATTTAGGTCAAATGGAGTGGCACGGAGCAAGAATAGGATATATCTGCTAACTTCAGGTTTGAGCCGATTTTGCTGAAAAAGTAAAAAATAAGGTTGTTCGTCTGACACCTGAGCCCTCATAGCAGTTAAAAATTACAATATATACATTTTAAGTCTTGTTGCTGCTGATCTTGTTTGCCTTTGAAGGTCAAAAAGAAGCATCAGCGACCACTTTAGTCTGCTTCATAACCAGCTAAAAACTCCTCACTGCGGCTTTAAAGCAAAACTTTTGGTGAAGAGTGACCAACGTTGGTTCGAGTGGCATGTAAAGGGAAGTGGTGTGGAAGGAGAGTCACCATCATCAGTTGAGCATTGCAGCTTTCACAGCAGGTCCACATTAGACTTAATGATACTTATTATGATGCTAAGTTTCTTATTTTCTCACCACAAATGGACTTCCTTTTCGATGACTCGATTTCACCACAAATGTGAATGACAAAAGCTTCTCTCCTATTTCTGTCATGTTACACTTCTTTGACTTGGTTATCTACCAGTCAGATTTAAATTTGGTACATCTCTCATTTCAGTTTACACCTGGCACAGTTAAAGTAATAACACCTGGAATTCCTGTGTAAGTGAATGAAATCTGAGGCTCAGATTAAGGGCACCACACACATCTGAGACAAACAGATTCACTCTGAATAAAACATTAAGTATGCTTTCTATCAATAAACAGCGTAAAAAAAAAAGAGAAAAAAAAAAGAAGGATTCAAAAAGACATACTGAACTGCTTGTAAAACTGAAATGTTTCATATCTGAAATGAGTGTGAGTGAGTTTTCTTAGCTAATGTCCACTTACTCTTTTGCATTTTTGTCTACTCTGAAATCTTAACTATGTGATGGATTAATAGATATTGGTGGCCTTATATGGATGGATACTAAGGATTAACCTGAGGCCTTTATCAGGGCCTAACACACTCCACTGCCCTGAGCTCAACCCCGTGAAGAAGACCACAGCACAGCAAAGCTATGTCTATGATCTAAAACAACAAATTTCACCAGTTAAGAAAGAAATCAAAGAAGACTCGGAGTAAACTGGCAGAACCTTCACATCCAAACTTGTTAAGGTCACACGCCCAGTGCTTCAGTGGTTCTGGTGTGAGCTGGTGAAAGGAAGTCTCTGTGACAAGTGTTTATATTGTCGGGGTCAGCGAGGAGCGCGACTGACAAGTTTTAAATTGGGATCCACTAGAGGCAGAGCTTCAGTGATCACAGAGCTCCTCGTACTCCAAATGTTGTGGGAGTGACGCTCATTAGGATAATGTGCTACGTGAATAACACGGCTGACAGTACAGTGCTGTTAGAGCTCTATGGTACCAGGATCAACACACGTGTGCAAACCTTCATGAGCAGCATTTTCTAAAAAGTATTTAAAAAAAAGAAAGGATAGACCCAGCTAATTGTGTCCTAGAGAAATGTAGTAATAAGTGTCACAGAAAAGATGAGATGAAGCAAAAGGACCACCTACTCCACTTCTAATAATGTAAACTGGTCAAATCTTCATTCACTCACAAATAACCTAGAAACTAAACCATGAGCTATTTAGTTCAGTGACAGAAAAATGTTCCGTAGATTTATGTCTTTGGATAAATTATCATTTCAAAAGTTTTCAAGAGAAATATAAGCTGGTTTGATGATTTGGAAGTTATTATTTTCTAGCTTCTGAGTATTGGTCTAAATAAACAAACATCAGGACCTTGGATGAGAAAAGTTATTAGTCACAAAGAAACTCTCCCTCATTCGTTTATAAGCAGTTCATGAGTGTCCTTTTTTGTCCAATCAGCATTAATAATATAAAGATGTTCAAATCACAGACAAATTCAAAAGATGACATTTGAACAACAAAAAAGGGTTACAAGCAGCACTGAACAGGCACTCGTACCTTTGTCTAAGCCGGGGACATGGTGCACTTTGGGGTCTGGCTCAAGTCAGGGTGGGGTGTGGTTAAAGTTCGCTCTTATTTGTAGTGTTTTGCTTCTCTTATAAAGCAACAGCACTGTCAATTATTTGTTATCCTACTGAATCACATCACACAGGGTCTCCTGCCTGTTACCAGTGCATCAGAGAGACTTTAGCTCTACATGTAATGTCTGAGGCAGCTTTTAAAGGCTGTTTTTTAAAGGAATGAATTCAAGGTGTTGCCCCAGAAACAGGCAAAAAAAGACTTTCAAACTTTTGAGGGCCGCCTCACACCTCCATGCCAGAAACTGATAATCTTTTCATTATTCAGGTCTCTTCTATTTCCCGAGCTGTCCTTCCCGGGGAAATTTCAAATGCACTAACACTTGACTGTTATTTGGGTGGATTACTTTTTTGTTTTTGAGTGAAGTCTGATGATGCTTGTTAAAGGATTTGTTTCATGCTTTTTTACAAAAAAAAAAAAACAGAAAAAAAACAAAACAAAGTTACACCTTTTGGTGTCCATACAAGATGTATGCAAAGTTTCAAATCACGAGGTAAATGAAATAATCTTAGAAAATATGAGTAAACTGCTCAAAACAGGCCCTTGTAAGAAAACACAAGACTCACGAAATAGTTCTAGTTCTAGTTACAGTATAGTTAAAATCTGAATATCATGTAAAGATATTAAAGAGGTATCAGAGAGGAAGTACAGAGTCTGAAAAAAAAAGCATTATACCCCTCTCTTTAAAAACTCAGTGTTTGATAGTTTCTTTTACACTGTGCTGTTTCATTTTATATAATTATAAGTTATTAGGGCCACAGGGCAAACACACAGACGCACTATGGTTATAGTTTGGATTTTATTTTTTTCCTCTTCTAGATATTTTCACTAGTATTAGAGACTAGTCTACTATTTCTACTAGTCCTACAGTTTAAAGAGTTGTAGGACAAATTCTATATTAAAATGTGCAGTTTGATGGGGATTGGTGTGCTATTACTTTGCTCTATTGTAAACAAATTTTCCATCGACTACTGTTCAAGCTCAGTTTTTTTGTTGTATAAATAAATACTTGAAAAAGGAATGTGAGTTATTAGTGTGCTCCTTGTGTATAATATCACAATAGTATTTATTATTTGAAACTTTTGAAGAATCTCATCATAATGTTCACACCCTGGCAGTAGCCCCTGTGGCCATATGAAAATATCCCAGAAGGAATTTTCTAGTTCCACTTGTATCACAGTTGGAAACATCTTATAGTTTGTTAATGCACCCTTGACATGTGCCTTTCAATATCACCCACAGGTTACTAAAACATTGTCAAGATGTCCTCCTCTACAATACTTGAGCATGTTGGAGCTTTTTAACCTGTGTGTGCAGAGAAAAATCCATCCTGAGCCATGATCTGTAGCATTTGTTATGAGTCTTTTCAAAGTAGAACAGAACATCAGGGCCTTCACATGACTCAGTGCTTTAGCCCTGGAACAAAAAAAAAAAACAGTGTTCAGTTTTCCTGCTCAGTAAATGTCTAGACAAGCTGATCCTCCAGGTTCTACTTCCTCTCCTAAATATTAAAGTCTTTCAGCTCTTGTGATGATATTGATTCAAACACACAGCTCAGCCAGTTCTTACAAATAAAACAATAAATCTGAAATGAAAAACTCAACAGGTGAACGTACAATAACAACTGAGTTACAGACCAAAGCCGTTTTTAAAAAAGGGGGTTGAGGAAGAACTACCACTGAGTATGATCCTGAAGATTATAGTCTGAATAACACACAGAGAGAATCTCAATATCATAGCTGATATGACTACATAATGAAATCTTGTGAAGCGGATGTACTTGGTATCTTTTTAATGGCTGTGAAATATTTGGAGTGTTTGGACACAGACTCTGAAAGTTGTTTGTCTACAGGCTGAGTGTGTCTTTTGATGCAGATACACAAAAACACTCTCAGCTTGTAAACCCAGGACCTGGGAACACCTGTATGAGGCCAGCGTGTAATGAGAGGTCTTTATGAGTGTGTGCATGTGTGTGTATTTGTGTGCTAGAAGTTTTTCCTCAGTGCATGTTTATGGATGCAGTCAGGACATCTCTGAGGTGTGTCTTCAGGAGAATTTCTGCCTCTAATGCATGTCTACATGAGCTATCTGTGTGCAAGGAATGTAAGGTGTGTGTGTGTCTGTGTATGAGTGTGTCTGTGTGAGTGTGTGTGTAATGAGGGGGTTCAGAGGGAGCTGTGATTATTCTTGCCTCCTGCGGTGTGGGTCCTCTGGCTCTGTGGGCCCCTAGGAAAGCGCCCTGTATTTAACGTGTGGGAACGCACATTCTGCCCCCTTATCGCTGCATTGTTGCAGCCTCGATCTTTTCTTCTCTTTTTTTAACTAATTGAATTCTTGACTCCTGAGCCACAGGGACAGCTCGGGAGAGACCAAAGAGAAAGACATGAATTTCAGGCCTTTTCTTGCGGTTGAGTAGGGCAGAGCAGTGGGGGTGAAATTGGAGTGTGTGAGGTTGGGTGGGTGGTGGTGGTAGTGAGGGTGCAGTCAGAGAGGGCTGGCTTTGGCTGGCTGGGTGGCTGCTTTGGCGTCGCCCTGTACTTTGATACTGGAGGTCAAAGGTCGTCCTCCCCCAGCGATGGTGAGAAAGTGGCGAATTGGGAACGGTTTATCCAACAATTATTTTCCCCTTTAGGAAAATTTCAAAAGCGCTTTTGGCCCATGCAACATCTTTGTAGTTGTGGTTGAGGAGTTCTAGACAAAACAATTGTAGCCCCCTCTGTGTTCTCACCTCTCTTCAGGGTAGCTTCTCCCTCCACTGGCTTCTGCCCAGCCCCCATCTATACACCAGTGGTCAGCGTAGCGTACACTCATGCCAAACACCACCCCAGCTTCTTGTCAGGATACCCACCTAGTCCTGCAGGAAACTGGAGCAGGGAAGTGTACAGATGTGTCTAGCTCTATGCAGTTTAGTAAAACTGACCATCTGACTCAGATAAATGGCCCAGTCCCTGCTCCCTTCCTTCACATTTACACAAAGCTTAAAAAATAGACAATACAAACTTTGTTTTACCATTCTTCAAAGTGGCTTCTTATAAAATGTATGTATGGATAAAAAGGGGTGGGAATCATTAGTGGCCCCGGGATACAATATTATCAAGATACCTTGGTCATAATACGATATTATTGCCAATTTTAACATTTTGCAATACAGTGAGTATTGCGATACAATATATGGTGATTTATACAATTTTTTCAACTGTTTAGCTTACTGAGCATTTGTCTTTCCTTTATGTTTATCTTATTTACACAGTATCTTATTTTCATGTAACACATCTTGCAAACCTTGTGTGTCAGGTCCATCTCATTTGCGCCCTGTTTGCACTCCTAATGTCTTTCCCCAGGTGCTGCTGTAACTTTCTCCTGCTCTATGATGTCACCTCTGCCAACCTCACTGGACAAACAGTTGATTTTTTTTTCATTATCATACATTTGACTTCACATTAGCAATTAATTTGAAAATATCGATACTTGGTCAATGAGTTGATACAATGCATCACCAGACAAAATATTGCGACATTATGCTGTATCATTTTTTTCCTCTCACCCCTAAAAAGTTTGTACATTAAAGTAGGTCTGTTGACGCAAAAATCTTGGAAAATTGGCTTTTACACTTTCAGTGAGATAATTTTCTTGACCCTTGGAAGTAATTTGTGATAAGTTTGCTAAATCCTGTTATTAGTATAGCCCAGCTACATATTAAGTTCCAGTATTTCAAGAGTCAAAGACAAAAATAATGATGATCATTATAATAATTATGATCAAATAATTTTTAAAAAAGCAATGACAAATGTTCGTTGATAAGGCAATGTCTCTACTAAGGAAATTGGAGACTTTGGTGAATCATACATTTGAAGATGATTTTTACATGTTAATTAAATTTCTTGTTTCACTTTGTGAAGTCATGTTTTCTTCACCCTTATTTTCTTCTTCTTCAAGATGACTGATTGTGTTGTTTCATTTTCAGGTTTGACATTAATATCGTAATATGATCATTACTGTGGTGTTTTATTTTGTTTATTTTGTTTTACCATCACAATAACTCTTTTTGAAACGGAGATGAACAAAACTTTTTGCTCCAGTTCAAGTTTTTTGTGTGTTTAAAAAATGTGTGTTTATCTTTGAAAAATATGCAGAACAGTTGCTGGCATGTGTATATATTTTATATCCTACATAGTTGACCTTAAGTCTAAACAAACTGCTCTCTAGTGTTAGCATCAAAGTACTTATTTTAGACTGATGATAGTTAAGTTTTTTTTTAAACGACTGACAAAAGCCTTTAACTCTTACAGGAGAGTATTTCTTGTGTAGTTTTATATCTGTCTGGTTTATTTCTATCAAAGCTAGTGTGTCTTTGTTTTTCTTTTTTTGTACTAATTATTTAGGCAAATTTATTTTACAGTAATATCCAGGCAGGCAGTTCGGGATATTTAATTTGACCTTTAAAGTCTTTTGCTGCTGAGGTTTCTAATGGTGCATTTCCACCAGGCCATCTGCTTTGGTTCAGTACGGTTTGGTTTGGTTTGATACAGTAAATCCTGATCTTGTTTGCATCACTGCTCTGTGTTTGGAGTTGCATCCACAACATTTTGTTAGTTAAAAAAAATTAACAGAAGAAAGGAATTTGTGTCTCTTAACCGGAGTCTTTGGTGAAATAATGCTAGAAAAAATGCAGATGTAAGCTATGTTAATTATCAAATAGCATCCAAAATAGTTCTTCTATTGTGATCTCTCTCTCCTTTTGCTTCCATCCTTGTGTCTCTCACCCTGCTCAGCTGGTGTCTGTGTGTATTTTTAAGCATAATTCATAACAAAGTTTTACTGATCAAATAATATCAGGCAAAATCAATCAACAGAATGCAGGGTATCTCAGACCACCCTTCAGGATCTGATACATGCCCCAAAGAACCCCAGAGGGAGGGTGCCGAAAAAGCTGGATGGTGCACGTTGATTATTTTCATAGAGTCAAATGATTGTGTACCAAATGGATCAGAACTGTACTATTTTATGGTGAAAAAGGCTTGCTGTCCAGACAACAGAGTCATGTTCAAGCAAAGGGTCTCTCGAGGGTCTAAGTTTGCATATTAGTATGGAAATAAAAAAAAAAGGGTTAAAACAGTAAAATGAGAGCAAAGGTCTGATAAATAAATGCATTTATGGTTTCCTTCTATAAAATCTGCTTGCACCACCACAAATGAGGATGGACAACCTGGAAGAAAAACTAATGATGGGTATCTTAATCTGAACCCATCCTTCATGTCCCCAGTCGATAACTTTGAACTGGACATGCACTGCCTTGTCCAAGACACCCTATCAGCCGTGATTTAGTACGGAGCTGACCTGCAGCTGCACATATAGAGTTGCCCAGCTGACACTTCAACCTGTTAGGTCTTGTTAACGTGACAAAAGAGTCTGCAGGGAACACCTCAGTTGACTACCAACCACCTGTCCCACTTCCTATTGCCTGGACCTGCACACACCAGGTTTGAAATAAAGGAAAGAAAGACAAGAGATAGAGCTGGTTATGAAACAAACTGAAATTAACACCAAGCTCTCGACAACAGCAAAAAAGGCCATCAATGACAAGATAACTCTACACCTATTTAGAGCTTGCTAAAAATCTCCTGTCCTCTTGGCATTTTCACCTGGAAATATTCAGATGAAAGCTGCATGTGACAGTAAAAAAAAAGCAGGGGGAGATTGTTGTCGGAAAAATGAACTGCACATGTTTAGTGCAGATACAGTTAAGTCATGTAGGTTTGTTTCCTCTTTGGCTCCGCTGACCAAAACAAAGTGAGTTAGTTCCCCTTTTTTCCCACCTGTATTATAATTAACACAAGCTGTTTTTATCTTTTATCCCTATTGTTTTTATCTATTACTCTGTGGCCTACAACACATTACTATTCCAATGTTGGTTTAATTTCTTGTCCTCATCCTTTTGTTTCTGAGCAAAAATGGCGCTCAGTGAGAAGTGTACATAATAATCTTGCAAGCTAAAATGATGAACTTGACTAAAAGAAAGAGGAGGGCTCATATGATTTTAAGAGTGGTCAAAGTACCTGAGGATTGTGGCATATTAAAGAAGTATCCATTCAGGGATGAATCAGATGGGAGTAATGAATGGCAGTGAAAGAAACATAGATTTGACCCTGTATTACATCTGCAGCCTCCTGTAGCGCCTCATTTTATTTTCTTGACCCCAATCCAAAATGAGCTCTGCCAGTGGGCACAGACCAGAGCACACAACGCTGGAAAAGGAGTACAGTATTGGGACAATCTATAAGCAAAGAAAAGAGGTTCACAGCCACTGTCAGGATCAATATCTTTTCCACGGTGGGAGCAAATGTGGGCAGATGTAGCAGCCCTGAACTGGCCTTGGCATTTAATCACAGCCATAATAATCCTCAACACCAGACCTTGAGATTACAGAGGTAGGGTGGAAAGCGAGATTATCATCTTAACCTAAGAAAATAACCCCCAAACCTCAGTGTTTTTGTGGCCAGTTTTAAGAGACAAACGAGCCTGCTGTGCTCAGATTACCATCTGTACAGACACAAGGACTCGTCATTGTACAGACACAGGGCTTGATGCAAAATTTTGGAGTTAAAATGTACATTGATGTTAAAGAGAAGACGAGCGCTCTGTACCACAGAGTTATTAGTGTGTCTGAGAGCTAACACATGAAACAAAATAAGTGTTCATGCAAAGCATTCACCTTGCGGAGAGTTTTCAGGGAGCCCTTGCTCAACTGTCTGTTTTGGTATGCTTTGTTTTTCTACAGTATCCTTTTGTAACTTGAGGGTAAATGGCGTGTGCCTTAACAACTGAGGGGAAGAATGCCTATTTTCCTTGCAGAAACTTCCAAGAGTATTTTGGTGTGCTGGTCAGAAATGAGTTTAATAGGTTTATCAGTGAGTTGACACCTGGTTCTCAGAGGAGTTTTAATTAACCAGGCCGCTGGTCAGTGAGAGGTAGGGAGCTGCTTTCCATTATGAGGAGGCAGCGTGCTGAAGCGTGGTCTGCTATTTCAGCCAGCAAATTGGAGAATTAATGATGTGGATAATCTGCCTGTTCCCCTCAGATCTGAGAGACGGTCCCAGGCCTGGATCAGACAGACAAGGCCACCATGCATGCACTTTGATAAACTGGAATTCTTATTTCCTTATGTGCAACAGTCACAGTTTGAGGCTAAAATGGGGAGATTGTATCAGCTCTGCAATTATTTACAGGGCTGATATGTGAGAGGAGAGGGATTTAATATTAAAGATTTAAATTATGCTACAAGTGAACTCTAGGAAGATTTTTGGTGAACATCTTTATGACCTACGTTGGTGCATGAATACTAATAAAGACTTGTTACACAAGAGCTGAAACTGCAGAAACTGTGGCCATATTGGACGAGAAAATTGGTCACTTAACAATTCCAGAGCACATAGTGTGTCAAAGAGGAAGGGTAAGTGCACTGGAGTTTTAGACCAACCGAATCTTGTCCAAAAACCTCAGAACCACATAACCCTGATCATGTTTTATTTGGCCAAGAAGATGATATGCAGTTAATGAAACAAGGAGCGTGTTACGGCTACTTCTGTTGGAAAGTTAAACTCAACAGGAGCTGCATGTTTGTGTATTGACCCCTAGAGTGGATGTTTCACTTTCATCTATTTCAGGTTCACCTTCATTCTTACCCAAATTTTAAGGATTCATGGACTTCATCATGATGAAGTGATTAAGTTTCAAAACATCAGACTTTTCAACTGCCCGCACACAATCGTATCATGTCTATGTTGAGCTTCATATGAATGTGAGCTGGGTTCTGAATGCTAAATCTTGAGGGGATGTTGTCAATCTTTATTTCTTTCTCTAAATGAATTTGGATTAAATTATTAGAGGCTATAAACAGTCAAGTATAGCAGATGATTTTCTTTTCCCACCAAGGCATTTGATGAATTCATTCACTGAAATATGTGAGAAAAGTCTGCGGAATACTTCTTAGACGTTGGTAAATCTAGCCTAGAGAATTTCTATACTATTCATAACTTTAGGGTTATTCGTAACTCGATTTCACAGATAAATCACAGCCACATTAGTCCACCTTTTTGGGTCTCCTGTCAGTCAAATGTCATAAGAACGAAAAAAGCTTACCTCAGTGTGGGACTAATAGCAACAGACCACACTCTGTCATACATGGGAATTATGTGTCTGGTACAGCTGGAAGTCAAAGTCCAAATCTAAACAAAGAATTAAAAACAGCAGTAAGAACTTCTGATGATGTGTGCATCCTCAGACCCAGTATGGCAGGAGTTGTGCTGATTTACTGACCCGGGCTGTTCTGTCTCTGGACCCGCTGACGATAAGTCCATCTTTGGAGTCCAGGCAGTTTACTTCTTGGTTATGACCGGATAACTCCATTGACATGTCACTCCTTCTGCTGTGGACCAGTATCTTGCCATCACTGGAAAGACAAACACAGCTTTTTAAGGATCAGCTGGATTTGTTGGTTGGCTAAAATGTCAGGAAGGTTTTACACTTTTTTATTTATTTATTTATTTTTAAAACACGCCCTGTGTTGTCAGGCTCCTCCTTTAGAGCAAATGTGATGTAGGGATGGGCGATATGGGCTAAAAAACTGTATGGGTTTTAAATTGTACATTTCCGTGGACCACTCTACTATAAGCGGTGCGCGTTTTGCGAGGTGCATGCAATTCTCGGAGGACATGCGTTTCTCGGCACAACAACAACAACGATTGCAAAATGAGCAACGAACAAGCGAAAACCACCTAAAATGAAGATTTGTTGCCAAAAAGAAAAGGAAAGTCAGTTATCTGGAATTATTTCGGTTAAAAGATGGATGATGTCGACCAAAACACGTGTTCTGTGTTCATCTGTTGCCACAATAACGTCCCAGCACAATAAAAGCTAAAAATATCTCTGAGACAGACAGAAGCCGTTCTACTAACATTCACAAAAAGAGGTAAGATCAGAGCAGGTTAACTGTCCTCAAGATTTCAGCGGTGCAGCAAAACATTAAATGTTATTCAGGTCATCTGGTGAAAATTCCTGTATTTTTAATATCGCAATATATATCGCAGGGTTGAAAAAAATCGCAATGTTAGTTTTTTCCAATATCGTGCAGCCTTAATTCTAATCCATGTTTTTGATTCATTTGTCATGAGAACACCAATTGGAGTGGTCAAATAAGATACTTAACCACAAGTTTAAGTGGTAGGTTATGGGGAAAACTAATGACATCAAACAAGTCTCAAATGTGAAAACATTTCCAACATTTGTTAAAAACTTTTATTGCACAGAGTGAACAGCAGCAGATCCACTGTCCGATGTCAGGCATACCTGATTGCACTTATCTAAGCACCAATCTTCACCACCTTCGGCCATGTTTGTTTGTTATTCTGCTATGTGTGGGCTGTGACTGCGAGTCTTACGTCATCAACTTGCATTTATCGTGAGATGGCAAATATTCATTGTGGAGATTTTTCTGATGATAAATCTTTAACTATAAGTTATTGCCCAGCAAGAGCAGCAAGAACCAATATATGTAGTAATATCAATTAGTTGTGATGACAATTGCATTTTCTCTCATTATTCCAAAAATAAAAAATAAAAATAAACACAGGAAGATAAACATTGGAAACATTCCCTCACTACCTTCCACCACTAATCAGATGAGAGTCTGTCAGCGCAAATCGGCAGACATCGCCCTTGTGGCCTGAGTAGATCTCAAATGGACTTCGCTGGAGCCTTCCAGTGTCTTGGCGATGATGGTATGCTCTAATATCAGCAGCTTGAGACAAAAACAGTACCTCCCCATCCAGCTGTAGCCATGGCAACAGTCTGAAAAGTAGATTCATGGTTAAAGAAACAGGTTTAACTTAAGCGTGACCTGACAGAAAATGAATGAAACTTGAAAGATGTGACTGACTTTGTTTTCCATTTGAGAGGAACAGCCCTCTTGCAGACACCATCATGCCAGTTTTGAGCGATCTTCACCCTTTCCTTCAGTGGGATGTAAGGATATCTGTAATCACAGTGACAGCTTACAATTAAAATGTGGACGTCCAAAGGTCTGAACAAAGTGGGGAGAGTTATGATGAAATTCTAAACTGACCCTTTACACCCTTCACATTTGTTCATTTAACACTATCAGTTTTATGCTTAAAATGACACAAAAATTACACATTTCCCACTAGTGGGATCTCTCTGTGCAGACACTTCTGGTTCAGTATGATCAGATTTCTAGAGAGGTGTCTGAAAAATGTGTGTCTCACTTCAGTACTGAAGAGGTGCATTTAAGCTAGAATAAGAAAATATGAAAGACACACTGTAGGCCCAATAACAACTCATCACAATGAAGTCTATGGGCCTTAGTCATACACATACATATATTTAAATCACACGCACAGTCTAACTTTGGTTCTGCAGCAAGTCTATAATTATCATGTCATACTCAGAAGTACTTTCTCTGGTGTAATAGCAAACTATGATGTTATATGATGTAAAATTATGTTGCATACAGTGTTCAAGACTTACAGTACCTGTAAAGGACAAACATCTATCCAGAATAAATAAGTTCAATTATTTGTACCAGACTCAAATGTTCAACGTTTACTTACTCTGATTTTTTCTTATGTGATAGGAGTGCTAACTCTTTAATAGATAGTGGTCTACTAATATTTATAAAGTCACCTTTAAAAACTGTGTGCGCTAAAAGCAAAACAGAACTCATCTCTTCTGCAGAGGAAAAATTCAGATGGCTCATGAACCACTAATAATAAGATTATCAAACACACTGGAGAGCTTCTCAAAGTTACCTGAGCCACTTCAGACTGAAGGTCACCCATCCATTTTCAAAGTGTATCACAGTTTGTGATCATTTTTGTTTTAATGTTTATTAACGGTCTGCCGGGTTTTCTGCAGTGGAGGACTTTGCAGAGGAAATCACTGCACAGGATTAAAACATCCCCAAAACCACTAAAATAGCTCATTACTGCATCAACAAGATGGACTGAGGAGAAGTGGATGACTTTCCAGTAGTCTGACTAATCAAAATTAGAGTCTCTTAGGAAATCATGGATGCTGCATCCTCCACTATGAAGTGGGTAAAAACCACAGGGCTTGTTGTCAGCGCACAGTTCAAAAGCAACATGCCTACTGGAGCAGCTTACTTTGTGAGGCCTCATCAGTGCTGAACATCATATACAAGTTTCGGGGTGACATATTCTGCAGTTCAGACTGACTTTTTTTAAGGAAGGCAAATCAGAAAGTTTAAGCAAGAAAATACCAAACTACATTAGGTAAGATAAGTCTTTGTATATCGCACAGTGGCCAACAGCATGGCTCCATACAGAGGAGACTGGTCTACAGACCACATATGTCACTCCATGAAAATATTTGGTGCATCATCACACAAATAATGAAAAAATGAACATAAAGATCCCAAACTGTTAAGCAGCTGATATGCTGTACCAGGAAAGCATGGGACAATAGTCCCTTTTGCACTTACATTTTTCAGAATTCTGTGAGAACATGCTGAAGTATTTAAACACTGTAAGCTACATTTAATCACAGTTGTAGATGATATGGGGTGTAAAAGGGTTACTTGAGTTTAGGTTATGTGATTGTCGGTGTGGTTTAAAGTTTTGTGGTTAAAAAGGACAGGAAACCATAATAGACTGCTGGAGAGGATGAAATGCCATGTAATGTGTTCAGTAAATGCATGGTCCTCTTACAGTTTGCTTTTTCTTTACCCACATGCTATCACTCGGTTTATGATGATGAAACTTCAGGAGAAATTGGGGATGAAGTAAAATAAACAAGCCTCTGTTCCTGGGTGTGGGGTGATCTATAAGGTGGACCCACAAGACCTGCTACACATTCAGACTGCCTGCAGGCAAAAGTACACTAAATTACAAATTTTCAATCCCACTGATGAATTGATCCATTTTCTATAGCCCTAATCACTACAAAAAACATAAATACCATTATACCAGCATGTCACACTGCCCAGCTGTCAAAAATGAATGCAATCTTTCATTGACTAATTCTTCCCCTATGAACTAGCCTCCTAAAATAAGATAAGAAGAACTTTATTTACCCTCAAAGGGAAATTCAACAATAATTTAATAAAAAAATTAATAATAGTGTAAGCACTAACACAAAGAAGGTCTCATCCAAATGTAAAGAAACTACCTAATATTAACACAGCTCCTGTCTCGAACACGGAAATCACAGTTGAGGGTTTGTAGGGTGGCACCAGAGGTAATAAATCACATCCCATAAGGGGCCCGTGTGACTCCCAGTCCCCACCTTTGGACACGCCCCTGAGCATTGGGAGCTTTTAGCCTAAATTTCGGGTACACACCTGTACTGCGGTACGTTACCACGACCTAGTGAATCTATATAAATAAACGACATAAAAAAGAGGCTGTTCGAATCCAGCAAACATAAACTGAGGCAACAGTGAAGTTTATGCCGTAAGTTGTGCTTACCTGTCCGTCCCATTTCGAGTAGTTCCAGTGTTTAAAAACTCTTTGGCTATCTTTCTCCATACAACGTCCCGGTTGACAAAGTAATAAATCCTTTTACAAACTTGAGACAAGCGACACAGAGACTTGTAGTCCAAACATGACAAGATATGATAGAGAATATCCTCTGGTAGCTGGGAGAACAGCATGGTTTGTCCTCCTCCTGCCTTCTGCTTCCGGGCCCGGCGGTATGATGTCCCGCTGACGGTGGCACTTAATAAAATTATGTGTTAAAGACAGCAAATAATATTCCATCTTTAGTGTGGATATAAACAGACGAAACAGGAAGCCATACTAGCTAAATAGCTAAAGCCTATGGCGGCTACAGGGGATGACGAAGACGTTACGTAGCTTGACGTGATGACGTATGATGCCGGGCTCAGCTGACTTCGGGGTTCCCTTTCATAAATTCATTTCTCATCATCTCCACTTTTTATCCGTTCGTGAGGCGATTGTTTTTGAGTCTGTTAAATCAATCACTCTTGCTCCAAAGAGTAAAGTGAACAGAGTGACTTTTGTCTGAAGAAATGTTCCCCAAAACAGAACTAAAACATAAACTATTTCACTTATCCCATCAGGCGTTGCTGTTGCTATGAGAGTATAAGCGTGACTAAATAAGATATAACATTAAATGAAAATAAATGAAAATAAAAAAACGGTTATATTCACTGCAACCATAAAAAAGTCTGCATAGAGCTGAATATGAGTAAACTAAGAAATGGCAGTATGAATTAAAAGGAAACGCACTTCCCATGATGGATAAAATTCAGCTAAAGGATATTTAGGGATGATTATGTTAGTTAATTATCATTTCCAGAGTAGTTTTAAAAAAATATTTAATAAGAACACGTCTGCTCTCATTTCATAAAAAAGATACTTTTAAAGTGCACTCTTCGATAGCCCTGTAGTAGACAAAACATAATAACATGCCCTCTCTGCTGCATTTTTAATGGAAAACAAGAAAATAGGCTCTCATATTACCCATCCAGTTAGGAAAATGCCCACTTAGATGATCTTTAAACAGATAAAACATGATAAGCTGATTATTACATTTTTTTTCTGCTCAAATGTGTTAACTTAATTCAGTCATTATATTTACAATGAACAATTTAGTTTTAAAACAGTCAATGGAGAGGGTGTGGCCCAGGGGTAGAGTGAGCAACACATCTAGCCTGGCTGGTTGTTCCCAGATGTAATCTTACTAAAATGTAAGCTTTCCAGGAAAAAGCTCTTTTTGGTGGTTAAATGATAATTTGTGTTTTTTTATTTAGATTATTACATTTCCATCAAATTATTGCTTGAATATTAGTAAGAATGAAGAGAGGTTAGGGAGTCTATTCCCAAGGCGAGATGAATAAGTGATTTACCAAACCAGCCTTACCCAAACTCAGGGTCATAACCCGAACTGGGTCACTATGTATTTCCCAAACTCACAGAAGTTAACTTTAGCGTTAACCCAAAACCTTCTCATGGTTTGATGGTCTGCTTCCCTCTCCAGCTGCATTGGTAAGAGTCCCTGCAGTCCAGGTCTGATACAAGACTTCATCCAAACACATTAAATTCACAAATCCACGGGCTACATCAAATCCATTCAGTCATTATGTGCTTCCAGGGTTGAGAGTAGGATTTGGATTATTGTCAGATTGTTCTTTCAAACACAGTATTTATCACAGATATGTACAGAAAATCTACCTTCTCTGCACCCCCTCTTTAGCTCCTGCCTTCATTTTCACTCTGCTCCCAGGGACCTTCATCTGTCCCTGCCCCAACCTTGCTTTCTCTCAACACTGGATTCAAACTCAGAACCATTGAAAGGTAGCAGTTATAACCACTGTACCACAATCTCAGATTTTTTTTTTCTTTGGTCTTTTTATTTCACCATTTATCATGATAGTTCAGAAGCACAGCTCAAAATACAGTGGGAGGTAAGTATTTCATCCCTGCCTCACATGGACAGTCTCTGACAGGGTTTGAATGGAAAACTGTTTAACCAAAAGGTTAAACAGTCCAGTTCAGGATGTCATTCTAATTCAAAAGCATGTTCTACACACATGTGCAACACCAACTTGACTCTTGGCTGATTTACCAAAATCTAAATTGCTTGTAACATTCTTAACCTTTGTGCTCACTCCATTTTTCTTAAAAATAGACCAACTAACTCTCTTTCCTTGGTCTGTCTGTTCTCTGTGATTTCATTTATTCACACTTTCTTAAAACATTTGTTAGTTATTATTTGGAGAGAAAAAAATTCTAACAACAATTAGTTCTCATTTTAGACTTATTAAAGGTCTCTTTCCTTCACAGGGCCCTTGATAGTCAGTCTCAATTTTACCCCCACTCTGACCCCCATGTTCAGGGATTTTAAAAAAAAAATGTTATAATCCAGGTCCTGGGGAGACATCAAGTCTTTTGGTTCTAAACTGAAAAGATTTTGGAACTTCTTCACTGAACAAACAAACAAACCAGAATGAAAAAGTTTGGATAAAATAGTGCTATGATATAACATGAAAAAAAGTTAATTTTATATTGACTTATAAAATAAGTTCTAGCATTTATATACAAACTCAAATTGAATGTGCAAGGCCTTTCCACGTCAGGTCGTAAAGGGTCAGTTCACCTAAATGTAAAAAAAACACAATGATTTTGAGCCCTAAAGGGTCCCAAGATCTGTTTGTAAAACTTTAAAATGATGTATTTAATATAATTTTCTTGCACTTTGACAAAAAACAAACAAAAAATGTGTATGATGTGAGTTAGTTTTGTCCTCTGATAAATACCAGCAGGTGTTATTTGAAACTTCAGTAGCTTATGAATGTAGCTTTAATGAAACCACTCTGCCAGTTGATTTGATTCATTTGAGAATGATGGTCAGTCTAGTTTAATCAGACTGTGCTCACTGACACTGATCTGCATGAGTTTTCTCATTTTCCCTTTCTGTGTCACAATCAAATGACTCTGAAAAGTTGATGGACCCTGTGACAATTTCTGAGGCGCTTAACCGTTTAGCATCAGTAGCAATAATTTGTGCACATTCACATCATGAGGCTCCTCAAGCCTTCAGTTACGAGTGGCATCCCTGCAGCTCTTTGATCAGCTGAGCACAACTGCACATAATTGAAATATGCAGATTGTTTCTCTTTCTTTCTTTTTCAAAACGACATGTCCTCTTGTTGAAAGCTGTGCTCTCTAACGGGCCATGTCTCAAACACTGGGCCGTCGAAAAAAATCATTTATGGTTGGCTTTCCAGCTGAACTGTCATGGCTAAAAGGAAATGAAGAGGTTGGGAGGAGGGATGTGGGGAGCAGAGGGGACATTTGGGGGTTGTGATGGGGATGCTTCAAGGGGGCTATGGAGGAGGGGGGTCTTCCCTTTTGATCTTTTTAGGGCAGCAAAGAGGGAGGGGGGACTCTGCCTGAGCTGGCAAACACATTTAGCCAGTAATTGTTCAGATCAGACTGACAATCAGTCTTGGAAATGCATGGACAAACAAAAGTTTACAGCTCCAATTGTAAAAGTCAACAGGTCTCACATAAGGCCGTACATAAACAATGAAACTGCAGAGCTGGAGCTTCACTTTGATCAGTTGTTTGCGTTTCAATTATCCAGCCTGGTTGGACTGGTGGCTTTTGTTAACATCCCTGAATGGAGGCTTGGATTTAATGCGCTGCTTATCATTTTTGAGAAAATGCATTTACCTTACTGCATCTGCACTCATCTGAACATCTGAGCAGATAAAACCATCTCCACTGTTTACAAACCTGATGATTAATGATTCACTCTCATGTAAACTTTCTCTCTTACAGCCTTGACTGAAAATAATCTACCATTCAGTTGGACTGTTTTTCTATGGGATCTAATTCATTTACAATTATTTATTGACCAAAATTTGTTTTATTTATAGTTTGCCATGTAATTTCATTATCATGAAGTTGTGTCATATCAGTGTTGTTTCTGAGTTTACAAGAATCAACTGTCAAAAAAAGAAAAAGAAAAACCATGGATCAAGAGCAGAGCAAAACCAAACAAACTAGCAGTAACTAAACTATCAAATTAGATTATTCAAATAAAAGGCAGAGAAAGAGAATCAGCTGGTTTGAATTTTTTTTTTCCATCTTTTGATAATTTTTTCCAGCTTTTGATGATTATTTTGAAAATAATCATCAAGAGCTATAAGTTAATACTTGAAATACTGTTCAGGTAAAAATAAAAAATTAGAAATCTGTTATTTAAAAGTGCACTGTTGTAAAAAAAATTATACAACTAAAAATGACCTAAACTGAAAATTTAAACCTCAAAATGTGGTGGGACAAAAATGAATTATTTTACAAAGACTGGAAAAATGGAGATTAGCTCTGATTTTTTGCTAACAGATTTCAACATTTGGGTCAATTTGGGTATAACAAAAAAAACATCTTTGGAGAGGATTTGTTCAGTCTGACACATAAAGAGTCAGAGAAAAAAAACTTTTTCTTTTTAGGATTTTTTTAGTTGTGACATAAAATATTTGACAGAATTTTAAGATTTGAAGTGGCTTATTTGGTTTCTTTTTTAAGCCTGAATAAAATTTATAAATCCATTAAAACATGGTAAATGAAACAAATGTGAAGATAACATCTGTTTGGAACAAAAAAAATACCTGTAAACAAAATCAAGTCTCTTTTTTTTAAGACTCATTCTCTGGACTCAATAACTTTCATCAGGGTGCAACATTATCTAAATGATACCTCTGTTACTGATAAACTGGCAAATGATATTTTCTAAACAAATGTCTTTATAAAGTTAAGATGACAGTATTTCCACACCCCTCTTTATCTACAGAAGTCACCCAAGAGGGTCAACAAGTGCTGTTTGCTCGCTGTGAAAATCCTTATCTTACTGGATACTTTGGAGAATATACAAGTGTCTGGAGGTTGTAAGTGGTTTTTGATGGGGGCAGCTTCTGTGTCAGTTTGTGGCATTCAAGGCTGCTTAGGGAGGCAGGGTCGCGTTCTCCGGTCACCCCTGCTATTCTAGGGCCTCCACAGGGGGCTCAAGGCAGAGGTTAAATTGCTCCCTAAGCAAATGAAGAAGGTAGCTGTGTTTGTTTATCCGGGGTTAAAGATGATGCTTGTGGCTCAATAAAATGGATGAAAGCAACGTTACCCCCGTTTTTCTGCACTGGAATTGCTCCACATTTGCATGGCAGCACTGGTGACATAGAAGGTGTGATTTTTCCCACAGACCAGCTCTCCTCTGAGGTCCACTCTGACTTAACAGACACAGTGGTGGGGGCTGTAATAGAAAGGACAGACTGGTGCCGTAATTCAATCAATTTACAAAGTCTACCAGCCATCCGGAGGGTCTGCTCATCCTGGAATTTTCTAGTAAC